CCTCGGTCTGGCACGAAACATAGCTTACTGGTGCGCCTGTAACTAGTGGCTGATCGAAAAGAAATTCACCAGTCACAATTTATAAACAAATACGCTAAACGACTTAATTTATTCACATGGTATATTAATTGATCATTCTAAAATCATTTACATTTCATCATTCCTCGCACAGCGTTGACCAAGGCTACAGATTTTCAGGCATGGAACACAATATTGCCGAAGACAAATTTGACGAAAACGAACACGAGAAGTCTACAGAGAACCATACTGAACGAACTATCACAATTGTAGCGTTTTTCGCTTTCGGTTTTATTTTATACACCGTGTATTCTCTTCTAATCGCTGCAGCTGAAGACATCTTGAAAGGCAGCGACATACCTACTTCGGCGGTGATATCGTGTATTATCGGACCATACGTCTTGATAACTTTCGTATGTCCTTATTTTGTACAAAAGATCCCGTATCTACCTCGAATAATCGTGGTCTTTGTCCTCTATGAAGTCGGTTTGTTCAGTCTGGTTTATGTGAGGCGCGTGGGAGCTAAACTTCTTGCCGTGTGCTTCGTATCACTGGCTTTCGGTGTGGGAGAGATGTCGAGTATTACCATGACTTCATTTTACCAGCAAGTGGTAGTAGGTGTATTTTCAGCCGGAACTGGTGTTGGGTTCATAGCAGCACCTCTTTATTACACAGGTAGGTTTTATAGCGAGCAAATAGACCGCTTGAATTAATTTCTCCTTGGTTAATTGGCCACACTTCGAGAGAAAAACGGGTTCGCTTTGAGTACAAGGATCTTGCTTTAGTTTGGTTTTTAAATGAAATTCATGTGCCTCAGAAAGTCGCTCTCTTCATCATTTACTCCGTGGCTTTTTGCGCTGGGCAAAATCGGGAAGCTCTGGTGACATATTCCAATATTGAACGTACTTATTCTAGAATCTCTTATAAATCGTAGCCGAATCTAAAATTTTACAATATATATTTTCTCATATCCAGTCATACCGGATTTGAGCGTTGTTGCAAATCAGTAGAGGCCGGCTATTTCGATTTCGAAATCTGCCCTTTTTTCTTCTGATTTTAATGACTGTTTCACTCAAGTTTCTTCAGGTGTTCTTCAAATAAACAAATTCTCACTTCCATTTGAACATTTCTTTAATTCTGATGTTTTATCAGCGATGTTTTGCATCAGTTTGGAGTCACATCAAATTGCCCATTGCAGCGTGAAATTTAACTTTAAGAATAATAAGAAAACAAACACCGATTTGGTGGTCGAAAGCGAAGGCCCACAACATCGAAAAATAAAATCAAGATTGATTAAGAAGTAAAACCGAGTTCGTTTCAGTCTATAACGTACTTGTATGATTTATTGCACCTGAGATGCTGAGTTCATTTTTTCTTAAGGCTTAAATCTGGTCCGATTGGAATGCGTCATCATAGTCATAAAACCGGAAAAAATTCCCGCGACAATATTATTTGGCTAACCCTAGGGGGACCCCTGGGAATTCTTGGTGGCGGTGTGCCGCCCAGTTCTTCAAATCCTGACCCTATTGAAGCCCAAAAAATGTCATTTTCCACACCCGTTTTCAGATCTCTAAAATCCATACCCGTTTTCAGACCTGGCCTTTTGGCAGAAATTATGTCATTATTACTAAGATTAGAGCGCAAACGAAAAAATTATTCAAAGCCATTTAGAATTCGCATATTTCTCTTTCTTTCACACATTTGGCCGATAAATGCGTTCATACACTCCCGTAGTTCCCTCTAAAACCACACCCGATTCCAGACCAAAATGGGCAAATTCTATACCCGTTTCAGACCAAAAAGGCGAAAAAACTCACTCTTATTTCTCCTTCAGATTTCTAATAGATATTTGTAAAAAATACTGTGCCAATGCTGACAGTAAACAAAACTGACTTGTTGCTACATTTTAGGCACAAAATGAAATGAGATAAAATATGCAAAATAAAATCTTTTTAATTATAGTTTGAACTTCCGAAAACACTTCAAACTTTTAGTCCCAAAATGACTGAATAACTTTTACTGCTTTTAATCCTAATCGTTATATTTGGCTATTTTTTTTGCCTTTTTTCGCATGACGTAAATCAAAATCCTATGAGGATTTGGTCATCGCGCCATGTTATCTTCACTATAGTGTCTTTTGTGTGACCTGCTATCAGGTTTTGGTGTGGTTTCGGTCAAGTCTTCATAGTGACCCGCTTCGCCGTTCTTGTCTTTTTTCTCTCGCCACACGTGAGAAAAAACCTCTGCTACACAGGGTAGGTGCTCTCCCTGGAAAGAAAAAAAGAAGACAAAGAAAAACGTCTGCTCGCAGGCTAAATCTTGTGGAGGAAAAAACCGGGTATGCACTTTATCCGAACTTCTTACACATGCTTCTACATAAATTCTATGTTCCTTTTCTTTTCACCAGCGATGACTACGTGGTTCTGCGTTTCGTCAGAGACAACAACATTGACCGTAGCTGGCCTCGTTGTGGTGTACTTGATATTTTATTTCTTAATGGAGAGAAAACATAGCGATTCTTCATCGCAATACTCAGAGACAGCTGAATTCAAAAACATACAATACCAGGAACTCGACCAGGGCAGCAACACTGACTCTCGCTACCCGCCACTGATAACAAGAGAAGCAAAGCTGCAAGCAATCAAGCAAATTCTTCCTCCAATCATCTGCGTGGTGATTTCATGGCTTTCGGAGTTCTTGGTCATGCAGGCTGTAATCACGACGTACGCATTTCCCAACTCACCCTTCCCCCCAAGGGATCATTACCAGTACTACATCACGTTATTTTTGATGGGAGAATTTATCGGTAGATCATACCTTGGCGTGGTGGCGTTGATCAAAGAAGAACTTATTTCTAGATTGATAGTCAGAAAACTTTGGGTATTAACCATCATTGAGGTCTGTATACTTGTTTTCTGCTTATTTGCGGCGTGGTACCGTTTCCTCCCCGATGTAACAGTACTACTGGTTATTTCCTTCTTCGCTGGACTCATAATCGGAATAATGTACGCTAATGTGCTACAAGTGTTCACAGAATCTTACGAGTTTCCTTTAAGAGAGTTTGTTTTGGGTTTTGTAGCTGTTGCTACCGGTATGGGCATACTCATTGCTGGCCTTCTTGGACTCGTTGTTGAGCCTGCATTCAGGAAACATTGCCTGACAATAACGGATTTAGAGGCGTACTGTTTCACAAGGACAGATCCAAATGCAGCTTCCAACGTGACCTCTTTATGCCGATAGGGGAGGGGTCCGTTAGGCTTTTGGTGGTAAGATGCTAGCCAGATCTCCAAATAAGGACCCCACATTAGAAAAATAACAGTTAACCCTTCATGAAGCGGCCCCACGGGTAAGTGGTTGACCGCTCAACAGAGGTTCGCCATAAATTAGAATAATTAATCTTTGGCATCACTTTATATTTGATTTTTCGTCCGGATGGCCAAAAGGTGACCGATTTAAAAAGGTTTCATTTACAATGCTTTTCTTCGATTATTTCGAGATTTTGATTACTGGCCACTAAATTAATAGAATAGATGAGAGGGTGGCCGCTTAATGGAGGTTGAACTGTAGTACGTTTCACTCTGATACCCCGTTCTGGAAATTAGCCAATTTCACCTCGTTCATCAGTTCTCACACTCTAAAGCTTTCGTTGTTTTAAATATATCATGTTCTAGGAAACGCGTGGAAAATGGATACCCCTGGGGCAGGCCTTATGGAGGATAGATAACTAACGAGAATTCCTAAGCCCCACTTACGCAATATTTCGTTTTTAAAAGTAAAAACGTTTTTTCTTACTCAAATGAATAGACCGGCTATTGAGAGTGTAAATATACAACTAAGGCGGATGTTTGCAAAACATTTAAGACTAATTTTGAAACCAAAATACGACTTGTGTTTATAGATACGACGTACAGAAGATGAATGTAAACTTATTCTCAATATGATTTACACTAAATCAAATCAATCAATTAACTTCTTGTCCTATTGCATATTGGTCTTTCAACAAGAATTTGCTGCCAATTGGTTCTCGTCACTGTAGCATAATCAAAGTCTGTTGCACATTAAAACTCGCGATTTAACCATTTTGCTACCGTTGAGGGGGGAAAGTTGTCTCACTATAAAACTTTCCCCTGAACTGACTGCATTAAACACATCAACACCTGCTGAAACTGTTTTGCAGCGCTATTTCATGCGAACTCGCTCCTGAACCGTCAACACAAGACCAAACAAGAACAGTAACAGAAACACGCTTCGATAAAACCTGTTCTTGATACACGTATCTACATACTAAGACAAACACAACTCGACCGAAAGACTATGGACGTGTCAAATAACTATCTTACAGTTTTATTCACTTGTTTTACATCTAACGTTGAGACGGACTACAAAAAAGGAGGAAGGGTTCAGTTCTCCAAGCTATTCACTTGGGCGTAAAGGAATTGGTCACTTGTTCTGTTCGTACTGTAGTTCACGCAATACAAAAGGAAGAAAAGTAGAGCCTCGTAGCACTCGAAATATTAGAGAATTTTCTTCCATGTTTGTACTCTGATAGTTTTGTGGTTATAACGGTCAAAATGCACGTAGATTCCACACTGTTAGAGTGCTGTCCCTTCTTCCACTCCACTCCGTCTAAAAACAGACAACTCCAAAATGCAATCAGAGACGGTCATTATGTAGCTTGGCAGGTGGCAGTTCGCTGTACCATCATCTGTATTTTGCGCGAAGTTGCTTTGTACGTTCACTTATGTTGACTTTCCCCTCCATAATATCTCCTTTACTTTTCACTTGAGCTTGATGATTGGAAAAGCGCGGTGACACTGGAAATCAAACTCTGGGGGATTCTGTGAAGAAGTAAGATGCCAGTCAGCTAACTGGACTGACTCTAGACTGACTTAAACCTTTTTTCTTTCTGGACTGAAAGCAGATTACAGTTACTGTAATGGGGCCAATACTAGATAAAAATGGCGCTCTGATAATGAAAGAGCATATATAGAACGACACAAGCGGCCACATCGATAGCAGAATGGGGAGCCTATAAAAAGGTATAAAAGAAGGATTTTATGGCTGTGAAAAGGTCGATAAAACGTTCTGGTTTTGTGATTTATTCAGATTTAAAATTCAGTACATTTTCAGCAGTTAAAAACACAAGGTATGTGAAAGAGGTACCATTTGTCACGAAAGGGGTTCCTTTTATACCACAAATGGTATTTAACGGGGTAAGGGGTGGGGCCTCTGAGAGGATCCTCTCCGTTTAAAACTTTGTTGGGTCCCCCCCCCCCCCTCCCGGGTATCTAGCAGTACCTTCGAGTCGTGTTTATGACCTCCAGCAGCAAGCTTGGTAACGACAAGATTCGTCTTCGTCACCTTCAGCAACAACGCAACCTGAGAGATAATACCGTCTTTTTTCATGTTAATGCAAACAATGAAACGTTCGCTTTTAAAACAAACTGAATTAAGAGTTAGACTAAGAGGCTTAAAAAGTCGATTTCTTTTCACCCGAGACACTTTACCTCGGTATGCACATTATTCACCACCTCAAATATCGACTTCGCTTGCTGGAAAGAATTAGACGCCATCACAAACAGGCTTGTACTCTGAAAAAAAAAATAATAATACGGGTAGAGCGGCTGAAAATCGTCTCCGGGAAAACGTCGATCGTCAAATGCAACGAACTAAACTAATAAATTATTAAAATTTGTATGATAATATATATATAGCCTCGTTTGGGAGAAAATTTATTACTGATCTAATTCAGTTGATTGGTTCTACGCGTTCTTATTCCAACGTCAAACCCAAATTAGAGTTTGGTTATGTTGTTGTTGTTGTTGGTTCGTTTCTTGAAAAGTTTGACGTTTGGCCAAGGCCTAAATTATTTCAAGCATCGGGCCTGCAAAAGTTGCCTAACTTCTGTCATTTATAAATAATTTTGAAAATCACAACATAAAATAAAAAAGGACTGTTTTTGCACCCGAAAGATATGACAGAATAGGTTCGAAAAGTTTAAAAGTTGCATTCAATCCCGGATATGTCTGCTTGGGATAAGACAAATTATAAGAGACAGTAAAGGGTTTAGCAGACTTTTAGCGACATGATGCACTAAAGAGGCCATCAAAAACTGCAACTCTCTTTCCTCCTTTACGAGTCGACCGCAAGACACCCTAGAGGAAAAGCAAAGATTTTTTCGTTGGCATTTATCGCAAGATTCATAGCCTGCGAAATCGACAGTCTCTCCTCGCTCCTCGCCGCTGGGGATGTTTCGCCAGGAGGGAATCCTGGCGGCAAGGAGCAAGGAGGGAGGCTGATTTCGCAGGCTACAAGATTCACTGTTTACCTACCTGTGATGCGTTCATCTTTGACATGTTGCTGTATTCCCTGTAGTGTCCATAGTACATAGGCTGAGGAGTATCCACGGTTTGAAATGGCAGGAAACGACGCTCAAACCGCAACTGTGTAAAAACAAATTATTACCGTTCCCAGTGAAGGCAAAATGCTATTTTCGTGGCTGGCGGTTTGGTTTCCGAGTGCGCTCGAACTAGCGGAAAAGGCAAGAGAGAACTGGGGAACCCAAGCTATGGATTACGCAGGCAAGGAAAATGCTAAAAACCCTTCAATACTGCCTTCTTCCAGTCTCCTTCGCAGCCGCTCGGGCCGAAGTCACGCCGGGGCGGGGAGCTTGCGTGACACCGGCCCTGAGCGGCTGTGAACGAGACTAACCTTCTTTCTGTGCCTACTACCAAATCCCGGAAGTTTTTACATCCAAACTGCGAGGAAGAATTTAATGGCAGACAGATAGCTCATCGAAACAGTAAAGGAGAACTAGAATTTTCTTACTCCACTCTGCGTTAAAGTTACAGATGTGCAAATCTTTCGGCCAAATACATTGGCGTGACAAGAAGCCAAATTAACCGGTAGTTGTAATAACGCTCGAAATAAAATCGTTTTCAAGAGAACAACCACGGTAACAAGGAGGGAGACCTCTTTCCTCTCATCATTGGAAATAAAATAAGGGAGCTTTAGCGACGACGACGGCAAAAACGCAATTGGTTTATATAAGCAAAACAACACCTTTACACGTGTTTCGCGCTTGTTTACATTTCTCTGCCGTTGTTGCACAAATACGGCGTGAAACCTCCTAATTTCAAGTTCAGTATATGAGCGACGTGAACACAAGAAAAAAATAGTTTTTCTTTTCCTGAACTAAGGAAGAGTCCTTTAAATTCGACTCCAGAAAAATTCGCCAGCATTTCACAAATTGAACAAGATGAAATAGGAGCGAACAATTCGAAGCTTGAACCAGCGCGAACTCACTTCCTGTGTTCTGTTTTCGCTGCCATCGCCGTGGTAGATGTTAAAGCTCCTCATTGTCTTACGAAAGGACGGCGTCAAGGAACCACCTTTGAAAAGACAGTTTCAATACTGCTTAGCTTGCTCTAGAAATTGAAAAGTACTGTTATTAACTGCATACCTTTTCCGATCCAAATTTATCCTCGGGTTTTCTCGTTTTCTCCTGAAGCTCAAACCCTTCAAGTGCCTGGTAATATATAATAAAATAAAATAATTAACACTACTACTACTACAGAAACAATAAAAATCTCTTAAATAACTATTTACACATGACATGATTATAAGACACTTCAAATGGGCTTATATGTCCTTATTTGTGAGGAAGATAAAATAGATAAGCTTCTAGGGTATTTAGTGTAATAAACGCCACACAGAAAGATATAGAAACTGCGATGTGTTTTAAACAGTTTCAATCGATAAGCCGAGCAACATATATACAAATCGCCGAATCAAATAGTTCTGTTTCAAACTTTGTACTTTCTAAACATCTCGTCCATTTTGGGGACATCGTTAAAACGAAATAAAATTTCGTGAAAAAAGACTAAAAAAAGTTGTTCCTGACAACTGCGAGCAGTTTTCAGTGGTGTCGTTAAAGTACTCCATATTTGCATGTTAAAAGTAGAGCAACAACAAAAGAATCAAATGACATTTTGTACCCTAAGATATCCTTGACACAAGTGTCTCATTCCTTGATACAAATGCCACATTCCCTGATGTTCCTGAATGGCTTTTTCACTTGCTGTCAAGAATAAGACAAAGAACAATCACACTGAAAAGGAGACAGGTAACTAAGCGGAAGGGGCTATGCCACCAGGATATTGCTGTTTTACGTCAATTCCGAGCTGAAGCCAATACTGAGTCTGCGCTAGAGCCTATACTCAGAACGGTCCTGTAGAGTTACGAACAAGATATCAAACCGGCCGAATTTCATCAGGGAGCACGGACCATAATAATTTGTTTAGTGAAAAGATTTCTACACGCATAGCTTTAAGCGTGACATGGTCCCTTAAGGGCCTGTTTACATGGAGGTGGAGTACCCCAGATAGGTGAGGTGACCCGCTTAGGTGGGGTAACCCGCCTGTCCATATAATCTCTCATTTTAATGTGATCACGTTTACATGATAGGTGGGGTAACCCGCCACATGTTACCTCACCTACCTGGACTCCCCCACCTTCATGTAAACAGGCCCTTATTGGCAGAGTCTAGGTCATCTCACTTAGAAACGACTTCGTGTTTTCACGGATAAGTACAGTTTCTTCACGAATAAGTACAGTTTTCAATGGTTTTAAGAATTGAGAGATATTAAGACAGGAGAAGATCACACTTACCTTTCTTTTTCTTCTTGTTTTTCTTACCACTTCGACCACTTTTTTGTTCTACAGAAACAGAAACAAACTTCGTTTTAGGACAACCAGGACCGTTTTAGACATTAAAGAGTCGAAGAGGGAATTAATGAACAAAACATGTTATCTTGATATTCAAAAGAGAATTTAAGACAAGAGCAAATGAACTCATTTGTCGAGGAAATAACAATTCTGGCCAGGGTTGAATTAGTAGCCAAAAGCTGTACTATAAATTGATCAAGGGACTAAAGCTTAAACATAGTAGGGGTAAAACAGAGAAAAATGAGAAGAAAAAAACAGATAACGGTAACCTAAAGCTGTTTCTTGAGCCTGCAGCAACTTCTCGGCACGATTAAGACAAGTCATGTGCCAGCCAAAAAGGAACTCGAGGTACCTAAAAAAGCAAAAGGCTCAAAGTTGAAAGCAATGTTAAAGCCTCTCTAAAAAGCTGGAAATTCCTGCGCCTACCAAAGACAGCCGAGAGTTGATGTAACCTGACATAATAGATCAGTAATTTCAGATCGTTTTTCAAGCCAGTGAAAAACTGACCAATCGATTATAAACGCCAGCAGTGTTGAGCCTGGAAAGTGAAAGACATGCTCTACACGATTTCCTTGCAACTTCCAGCATTTTACCCGCCCTTCGTCATATTTTCCGCATTTCTCGCTTAGCTTTCAAAGCTCGATCTGCGGGCACGTTTAGATTTTACACTTACATTTGTAAAGCCAAAAAACATTCGCGTGTTATTTAGTTTCTACTACAAACTACAAACATTTTGTATTTTACTACCATTCACGCAGAATAGTTAGCATTGGTTATGGATTATCAGGGTCTGTTATGACTGACTAAAGTGATTTATTAGGGTTTGCATTTCTTACATTTTTATGAAAAATACCATAAGCTACGTATAGGAAACATGGGTTTTGACCGGATAGAGGTTTAATTTTTGTGTAATAAAGCTGACTTAATGACCTTGGAGTAGTCTTTTCTCTCTTGACCAGACCAGAGGTTTAGTCGAAACCCATGTTTGCTATAGCTCATGGCAATTACGAACCATTGCTTACTCACTCACCAAAACACGTAATGATACTCGTGTGGGCTATACAGTTCCAGTTCAAATCCAGACAACAGATATTGAATCATGATGTTAAGAGTGTGGTACAGCACCCATGAACCAAAACATGCAAAGTGTTGACGCTAGAAGAAATATGAAAAAGCCAAGTCGGGCATTATACGAGAAGACACCTAAAATGTTACCCTACTGTGTTTCGCCACCTTCGTTTGATGTCTTTAAACTATCGCCCCCTCTGTTGAATCATTTAAAAAGTAATTTTGAGGTTTAATTAGGATTTGAAGTGTTACTTTTTATTATCTTGAATTTTTATAAATTTCTGACTAAATTTTTCAATCTCTTATGATATTATAAGAGCATTGAGATTAACGCGCGATATAGTAATCATAATAATAAACAACATCAATTTTATTCAACTTTTTTCCTCGTCAATTTTTTCGCCCTCGCTTTACTATCCGGACACCTGGAACAGGCTAAGATAACCAAAACGCAGAAGGCTAATTTCTACATATAGCGTTAACATTTGATTCCTACCTGAGGCTCTACTTTGATTAGTAAGCTATGAAGCTGAGCGTCCACTTTATCTGCCTAAAACACAATTGGGTATAAGCAAACAATTCACGTTAATTCTGTAAATTATCATTTCAAATAATGCATGTCGTGGTCGTGCAGTGACGGCAAAGAAATGTACAAAAAAGCGTGATGCACGTGCAAAGTTATTGTTTTGTACATAAATCTATTGCTTCTTTGACGTTCGCGATGCCGTCGCCGTCGTCGTTGCTAAAGCTCACTTATAGTTCAGACAAAAGGATGATTTCAGTACAAGTCTGCCACTTCAACTGGGTGTCAACTTTTTGTCGTTAAAAATAGTTTTATGCTCAGGGAGGTTCGATTACTTCCCATACCGTGACTTACAACGCAATAAAATGTACCTCGTCTTGCAGAGCAGCGAATTCTTCCAAGAGATGAGCTAACTTATCTCTCTGTCGAGCGCGATTGTGACCAAGTGCATGAATGATAGACTTCACAGGCTACCAAAAAACAACAAAACACATTCCCATCCATAAATTTGGGGATTATAATCGCACTGAGGACGTTTTTAAGTTATCTACTCCTTGGCTAATTGAAGCTACAGCCGCGCACAAAAATCTGGACTGACTTGACTTCAAATCCATAACTTCTTTTACACTACCGAGTGCTCAATCCATTAAATCGTTGGCAACTTAGGCATTAAGTCTATCATCTCTCGAGATCAAGGAAGAACACCTTTGTGTACGTAATGACCTCGTTTAAATATTCTTTACTTTTTTGTCAAGGTTTTTAAGGAAAGGCTCTAGAATCTAATTTGAAACATCTTCGACTTTTCGCCTTCTTTTCTTCAATTGATGTGAAACAGCTCTAGCTCATAGTTCGAGGAGGCCTAACCTCTCATAAGCTCCTATAGTTTCTGTTAGGTCTCCTCGCCACTTCTTTTTTTCTTCTTTTCCTATATTTTTTTGTAATTATTGTGTGGCAAATAAAATAAAAAATAAATAAATAAATAAACACCACCCAGTAGAATAAATAGTGTGTAAGCTTAAGCTTACCCTGACAGCTCTGCTGATAAAAGCATCAGCAAGTTCATTCGCTTTTGGGTTACTGCTCAGTGATGACCTGCAAAAGGATGAAAAACAGCAAATCAAATATGAACGCCAGAGCCTCAATACATCTCTCAACTGCAGCTTATATTATTGCATCCAATTGAGCAGGCCAAAACAACACTCAAAAATTGCAAATGCATTTTTGAACTGAAGCAAACACGTTTCTAAATTTACTTACTTCTCAGCAATAGAAGGAGGACTGTTGAAAGCCCTTATAGCTTCCCGTATCGTCTCCGCTTTTCCTAGTAGATTATTATTTTGCCACACGAGAAGCTGCATGGAAAAATTGAAAAAAAAAAAGACAAAAAACTAGTGTAAGTTACAACTTGTTAAGGCATGGTCGATCTGGGAAACACCGCGGGGCAACATTCCCGCTGGCGCAAAAGCCTCCCAGATCAGACACAGGAGAAACAGATGTTACCGCCATCAATTTTGTTTCCCAACAGCACGAAAGGTAAAAACTGTTTTGCTTCCAGGGGGGAAAAAAGGAAGTTTCTTCCACATTCCCGGAAAACTCAGAGATCGAGGGATGACTGCATCATGATATCAAAGTGGCTAACTTTGCCGAAAAATGGACCAAGAAGCAGTTCATAGTGCCCGAATGGGCACTGAGTAAATAGCCCATGATGCCGAATGCCGAATGGGCTATTGACTCAGAGGCCATGAGGGCGAGAGGGATAATTGTTTTAGTAAAATCCAACTACTTGGTCAAAAATATCGAGCCAAAACCGCTTTAGCTTGCAAAACGCGATTCAGCCGCCATTGTTCTGGTTTTCAAAGCCGGCGCTTTTCGCTACTAGTGGGCTATAACGTATAGCCTAGTAGTAGCTCAACCAATCAGAACGCAGCATTGATAATAGACCACTAGTTGGATTTTACTAATAATCATTATAAAGAACTGTGCCTTTTCGCAAAAAAAAAATATTTGTTAATCAAGCAATTCACCTGTAAATATGACCGTGTTAAAACACACGGCCGCTCTTTGCTAAATTCCGAAATAAAGGCCTGCAAGCAAAAAAAACAATGCGATTAACAGGATACCAGTTAGCTTTACGCTGATGATCAATCCTTTAGCTATATTTGTTTCAAGTTTATCACTCGATTGAAAACAGTACGTAGCTGAGTATGTGTTTGAAGATACGTCGGCGGTTTTGAGTGATACATACGATGATGATATGTAGAGACGAATAGTTGACCACATCACAGATGTGGAGAAATCTTTTTACCATCCCCTCTGTGTAGTCAATCGCCTGCAAGAGAAACATGTTTTACAATCATCATCTACTAGATTTTGGTAGCACGGACTTTTCGAGCGCCAGTCCTATGGGTCGTGCTTAATGGAGCTACGCTATTGGTAGAAACGCAACCTATTAATATTTAGAAAATGTTGGTGAAAATGTTCGCCAATTCTTCTCCCATTCAACATGTTTACATCTTCTTGCAAAAAGTGTAGGTTGTCCAAGGAAAGTTGTGTTCTAATATTTTCATGCTGCCTTACTGTGTCCTTTAAATGAACAAGAGAACGTGCGCACAATGCAAGCCTAATTCTGATTTGACACAATTCTCCTCCGCCTTAATGGTTATGCCTGTAATAAATGTGAGTGTTTCTGCCCTCGTCACTTGCAAAAAACTTGAGCAAAGGAGGGAAAGCTTATGACCTACCTGTTCTCGGCCAAAGATTGCAGTATACCTTGGGAATGATGGCGGAAGAAGTCTTTGATTGACAAGTGGTTCAAAGCCCATAATACTCCCTGTGTTAAGAAGGACAACTCATGCTTAACATCTGGGCCCAGTTGCTCGAAGCGTGGTTAGCGTTAACCAGCGTTAAATACCTTGACAACGTATTGGTTTTGATACTGCTTAACCAATGGTTACAGCTAACCATGCNACATGTTTTACAATCATCATCTACTAGATTTTGGTAGCACGGACTTTTCGAGCGCCAGTCCTATGGGTCGTGCTTAATGGAGCTACGCTATTGGTAGAAACGCAACCTATTAATATTTAGAAAATGTTGGTGAAAATGTTCGCCAATTCTTCTCCCATTCAACAAGTTTATATCTTCTTGCAAAAAGTGTAGGTTGTCCAAGGAAAGTTGTGTTCTAATATTTTCATGCTGCCTTACTGTGTCCTTTAAATGAACAAGAGAACGTGCGCACAATGCAAGCCTAATTCTGATTTGACACAATTCTCCTCCGCCTTAATGGTTATGCCTGTAATAAATGTGAGTGTTTCTGCCCTCGTCACTTGCAAAAAACTTGAGCAAAGGAGGGAAAGCTTATGACCTACCTGTTCTCGGCCAAAGATTGCAGTATACCTTGGGAATGATGGCGGAAGAAGTCTTTGATTGACAAGTGGTTCAAAGCCCATAATACTCCCTGTGTTAAGAAGGACAACTCATGCTTAACATCTGGGCCCAGTTGCTCGAAGCGTGGTTAGCGTTAACCAGCGTTAAATACCTTGACAACGTATTGGTTTTAATACTGCTTAACCAATGGTTACAGCTAACCATGCTTTGAGCAACTCAGCCCTGGTTGTCAACGGACTGCAACCTTTTTGTCAGCACTAACACTTTGTGAAGACCTTAATTCATACATTACCCACGACCCTTGCGACAGAGAAACCCTTGAAACACTTTTCTCTCTAACTTCCACTTCTTATACGGCTGAATCTTCGGGCAGGCAAGATAAAGCGAATCCTGTGTTCTGATTAGCTACCCAAGCGGGCAAGATGCGCCCATTTTGGCCCCCAAGATTTCCCGTGTTGGTCCCGCGAGGAAAAGTTCTTTTTTGGGGCCATACAATAACCTTTTATTGACCGAGCTTGTTCAGTCAAGATAGCTGGATTATGGCTCATTCCTTTTTGCGACTTTTTATCTCTCGGTCCCATAAAAACGCAGAAAAAGACTCGGTCAATATCCAGCCATCTTTGCTTCACACTTTGTCAAACGCATATGGATGCACTTTCTCGTCCTGACCTACATCAATTTTTTCGAATTTCAATTGGTTCACAAGATTGGCCGCAACTGAAGGCCGGCCAGAGAGTTTAACTCGGTCTTAGAAAGTCAATTTAAACACATTATATAACGCAACCTGTATTAATAAAAGCAAAAGACTTATACCTTGTTTGTTATCTTCAGTTGGCACGGGCTGAATTCCCAGTCCAATCGTCTTTCTGATTGGCTCAATAAGAGTTAGAGCTGTACAAAGTAACTGCTTGGCAGTCGGTACACCAGATCCCTAAACAAACAGAGGTCACTTTGATATCTGCTTGGTTTTTTATCACTTACAAATCTATAGCGAACTTTATAATATATTTACGAACGTTTCTCTCGTGAGTCGTTTCGCGAACGTCCTGTTCGTCAACGTCTCTAATTGTTTCGCTAACGTGTTAGTGTCATGGCTGAAAGAACGAGGTATAAAACAGGTGTAACGCTCGTTTCATCTCGTAAAGGAAACGACTTAAGACGATAGCGAATGGGTAGTTGCCGAAACGAAACCCAGGGGGAAACAACCAGTCTCCTTGGATCAGTACGAGACTACGAGAGTAATCAGTACATAGAACGACTTAAGGGACACTTTTTTTGTTATGAGAAAATAAAGAAACTTGAAACTTGTTTGGCTTGAAAAAAAAAGAAGAGGAAAAAGAAGAAAAAAAAAGCGAAGTAAAAAAAATAAAGCTGAATGTGAGTTGGACACGCTTGTGGTCTCACCTCTGTCTTTTCAAGAGAAACAAGTGTGAGGTAAAATGCTTTGTAAAACTTCAGCCTGGCTAACACTGCTTCATAGCTCTTTACTTGACCCTGCAAACAATAACATCGTCATGAAAATTCTGTTAGTACTTAGCCTGTTCAATAGCTATGGAATCAATTAACTAAGGAGACGTCGAATGTAGAATGACCGTACTATACCTGCACATGTTCAATGTCGCAATCTGACTCTTCACGCAACTGACTCTTTAGTGACTGAAATATCAAAAAATAATATATAATACCGTACATTCAATATGCACAGAAATGTTTCACACACACACTGCGACAGGTTTCTGGAACAAACCACTCCCGAAGGATAAATAGGTGAACGGGTTTCAATAATAATTTGCTTTGTGTGCACTGTATAACTCTCTCTGAAAATCTTTCTAGCCGAGACAACTCGCACAAATTCAACCCAGAGGCCCTGATTTCATGTCCCGCCCTGACAGGCAACGAGATTTGCTTCTCGGTAGCCAAAAATTGAAAAATTACTGATTGTTTTTCCTTTCTCATTTCTTTTGCATTCAAGTAAGTTGACCAGATAGATACCTTTATTTTTCTTCCTACTTCATCTTCTGCCTCTTTCAACATACCTGAAGATCAAGAAAACACATACAGTTGAAGCACCATTAGGAGGTGACTGTCGGGGTGCTGGCAAGTGGCTGCTTAATGGAGACTGGTCCCTCAATAGAGGTTCATCACAAATTAGCATAATCTTTACAGAAACAGTACTTTATTTTGAAACAAACAATCAACAAGAGCAGCATTACTGGTCCATAATCGGTCGTCACCATCTATCTCCAATTGTATTTTCCTTCATCATAAATCATTCTTGAAAAAAAGCCAAAGTAAGTGTATCAAGTGCTTGACCTGGATGGCTGCTTAATAGAGGACAACATTGGGGGC